TCATTTTTTTTCTTGGTCAAGACTGTACGTATATGGACCTTGAATATTTATTCTTTTTTAGAAAAAAAAAAATTTATCAATGTCTTGTTTTGTTTTTGTCTCATTAAGATGAGATTTTTTGTTGAATCCTAATATATCTACCTCCAAAAATCCTCTTTAATATGCTTTATTTCCTCTGTTGACTGTTTTGTTTGATTGATTTCATATATTTTCTTGATCAATTCTGCAGGTACTTTTTTTTTTCATATACTCTTTTCTCTTTAACATTAAAACATCAAATAAGCATTCTATCACAACTCAAGGTTAAGATCCAATGTTATAGTGTGTGTATGGTCATATGGCGATGTGGGGAAAGGTCATATGTGGTAGTGCATGCCTGATTGGTTGTGTTGAAGGAATGAGAGTGAGATGTGTGGAAACAATGAGATGAGAAAAAAATATTTGTTGCTAGAATTGGCAAGATCGAAAGTTGTAATTTACGTGTCTGACCTTTGCTATTGCGGGTGCGCTCACATGACAGGTCAAACAGTGCAATAAAATTCATGTGTTTTTTGTTTTGGGGGGGATGGGGAGATGGGACGGGATATTAATATATTATTTTGGTCCGGCTTTCCCTATCTCCCATTTGTCTACTTGTGTACCTCTTTTTCTTTCCTGTCTCTTATATTTATTTTCTATCCAGCGGCATAAATTATATATGTGTTTTAACTCAAGCGAGGTTAATTCATTTATTCATATCCTAGAGTTTATTTATTTACTTTTTCAATAAGCAAGTTTTAAAAGCAACTTAATATATAACAAATTGTCTGATGCCTTAAAGCAATTGCAGTTTTGAAGGCTTGGAGCAAGTCTCGTGATTATCAGCCCTATTTTTGTTAGTTTTAGTAAATGACTTAGTTTTATAATTTGCCAACTGTCTGTGATAGCTAACGCTCTTGGACCTGTTGGATAACTAATTATCAATTTTCGATTGAGCAATACAATATTGGTGCAGTTTAGGATCTTTCAATTAACAAATTGTTTGTAGGAGGCGTTGCTCTTTAATACATATTACATGTTTTTATATTTGCATTACAGGTATTGAAAGCTGGGTATTCAACGGCATTTTGCAACTAGCTATCTCAGCCATTATAGGGTTTCATATCTTTGTGCAATCTGTTATTGTGAGTTTTGTTTTTCTTATCTTTTTGAAATTTATCGTTATTTTGTATCTTTAACATGAATTGTTCGTCAAATATTAATATATTTATCTCCCTTTTTCTCTTTTTCTTTTCCTCTCCGATGT